TGGGGAAGATTATCCCCATTTGGAGTAATTTGATGACTTCATTTTTGACCACCTCCATCATAGGCGGGTTCAATCTCCTTTGCGGTTGGCGTACTGGTTTTGCGTCATCCTCCATCAAAATGCGGTGCATACATGTAGATGGACTAATGCCTTTGATGTCGGCTATAGTCCATCCGATTGCAAGTTTGTACTCTTTAAGCACCGCAATCAACTTCTCTTCTTGATCTCCGGTCAATTTGTTTGAGATTATGACCGGTAAGGTTTCTTTTTCTCCCAAAAACACATATTTCAAGTGTTTTGGGAGCGGTTTCATTTCAACATCGGGGGCCTGCACAATGGAAGGTAAAGGCTTCTCTTCGGGGATGGTTAGTGGAAATGCTCTTGATCCCGGTGGCATGAGTGGAAGTTGGAAGTGATTGTCCAATTCCATCATCATGGCTTGCATATTGGGAGTCAAGGCAAGTTCTAAAGAATTTTCCCCGAAATCATTTTTAATTACGCTCAATAATTCGTCTTTTCCATTTATTTCAAAAGTATCTTGTACAAGAGGATCAATAATATCAATGGCAAATAGAGAATGATTTTCATTTGGGTATTTCATGGAGTCATAAATGTTGAACTCAACTTTATCTCCATCAAATTCCATTGTTAAAGATCCGCTAAAAACATCAATTTTGGCTCTAGCGGTCTTTAGGAATGGCCTTCCTAAAAGAATAGGAACCGCATTCTTGTCATTTTCCATTTCCAAAACATAAAAGTCGGCGGGAAAGATTAAATTGTCTACCATAACTAGTACGTCTTCGACAATACCTTTAGGGTAGGCATTTGATCTATCCGCAAGTTGAATAACTACTCCGGTTTCATTAAGAGGGCCAAGTTCAAGTGATTTATACAAAGAGTAAGGGATGACATTAATTGATGCCCCCAAGTCTAACATGGCCTTTGAAAACGTAGTACCTCCCAACTTACAAGGTATAGTGAACATGCCCGGGTCATTGTATTTCTTTGGGAGTTTCTTTTGAAAAACCGCGGAAACACGTTCACTAACTTGGACTTTTTGTTTTCCATTGAGTCTATGTTTCCTTTTTATTGTACAAAGCTCTTTGAAAAATTTTGCAAATCTGGGAACACCCTTTATTAAATTAAGAAGAGGGATATTTACCTCACACTTGGAGAATGTCTCATAGATGTCCTTGTCTTTGTCCACCCTCCGTGTTTCCCTTAGAGCTTCGGGAAACGGGGCTTCAATTTCTTGGATGACTGGTGTTGGAGTCGGTATGTGGACCTCCTCCTCTTCCGGTTGAGTTTTCTCCACAAGCTCTTCTTCCTCTTCCTCGCCAATGTGGCTTTTGGCTTTCTCCTTGGCAATCACCAATTCTTTGCCACTCCTCAATGTTACTGCATGGGCTTGTTGCCTAGGATTCGGCTCCGTTTGAGATGGAAGCTTTGTTGAATCCTTGGCTTCAAGCCTACTCACGGCATTTGAGATTTGGCTCACTTGATTTTCAAGGTTTTGGATGCTTGATTTTGTCTCATGTTGGAATTGAACCATGTTTTGTTGCATGGTTGAGACATTTGAGGTGAGTGCTCGGATCATGTCTTCAGTGGACATAGTTGAGCCTTGGCCTTGGGGTTTAGAGTATGGTTGTTTATTTGGAGAGAATTGATTTGGTGGAGGGTTATTTTGTTGTGGGTTTCCTTGTGGATTCCCATAACGAAGATTGGGGTGATCTCTAAACCCGGGATGATAAGTATTGCCATAGGAGTCGTACCTTCTTTGATTTGGGAACCCCAAAGCATTGACTTGCTCGGGGTTTTCTTCTTGAAGCGTCGGGCATGCATCGGTGGGGTGGCCTTGTTGTGTGCAGATGCCGCAGACCTTGACTTCTTGGGTTTTGGAATTTAAAAGAAAATCCTTAACCAAAGAAGTCAAGCCGGCAACTTGACTTTCTAGAGATGATGTTGATTCGGCCGCCATGACTCTTTTTGTTGATGACCGCCCGTTGTGATATCTACAATTCTCGGCCAACTCCGAGATAAGATTCATAGCCTGAGAAGGAGTCTTGTTAACGATTCCTCCTCCACACGCGGCATTAATCATCCGTCTATCATCGTTGCAAAGACCATCATAAAAGTATAAAATGAGGTCTTGCTCCGAATAGCCATGATACGGACAGCTCGCACAAAGTTTCTTGAATCGTTCCCAGTATTCATAGAACGATTCATCATCATTTTGCTCCACATTGCTGATTTGCTTTTTGAGTGATGAGGAGACAGAGGCGGGATAATACCTTTCAAGGAAAGCCTTTTTCATTGCTGCCCATGTGTCTATACTTCCCGAAGGAAGATAGAATAGCCAATCCTTTGCGGTGTCCTTGAGTGAGAATGGGAAAGCCCGCAATTTGATTTGCTCTTCGGTGACTCCATTAGGGCACATGCTTGTGCACACAACATGGAATTCTGAGAGGTGTTTATTTGGATCCTCTCCTCTTAAGCCATGGAAGGATGGCAAAAGATGAATGAGCCCAGATTTTAGCTCGAATGTATTACCCTCGTTGAGTGTAGGGAAGGTAATACATAATGGTTGTTGATTCAAGTTCGGAGCTGTGAGCTCCCTCAAGGTTCTTGTTTCTTGAGCCATAGTAATTGGCTCTTCAGATTCGCTAGAACTGGAGCTAGCGTTTGAGGTTTCCTCCGAGGGTATGTGCGGAATTAAATTTCTCAACCTCTCGAAGGCTTGTTCTATTTCGGGGTTTGTTTGATAAGTGATTTCGTTTATAGAACGATATCGGACCATATACTTCACAAAGCTCAGAAATAGAAAAATAAGAACTCTTTATATTTTTGGTTAATTATATTTTTTTGATTTTTCTTGAAATAAAATAAAAAGAAAAATAATTGCCTTTCCCCGGCAACGGCGCCAAATTTGACGTGCACTTTGTCGTGAGTGCACTCAAAGTAAATTCAATACGACACTAATACGTAGTATAGCGAAGTAAGGTTCGTATCCACAGGGAAAGGAATACTTTTCTCTTTATAAACTAGTAACAAAGGGGGGGATTTAGATTGAGTAAATGTACTTGAATTATATTTAAACACGAAGATGAACGAGTTATGTGGTTTAATTAATGAGAAGAAGACTTGGCTTTGCTTTTATCCACTTAATGAAATGTTCGTCGATCCCGATTATATCTTTAACTATCTTCCTCTCGAATACTCAATCGAGGAGTATATCCAGTTCATCGAGGGTAGTTATTAATAACGAGAAGCGTTCATTAATAAAACTTACTACCGAGTCAATATAGAACAAGCGCCGTATATTAACTTGATAGTAGCAATAAAATCAAGATGAAAACGATTGAGATTGATAACCTCAACACAAGCGGTTTATTGGTTCAATCAATATAATTAATTCCCCTTGGCTTATTAACCATGAGAAGCATGTATTAACAACCCAAGTTTACTACCGTGAAAGAACCGAATTAATAACAAGCGTATTAACCGATTGATTCTAGTAATATTTAATATATAGAACAAGACTAGTTGATACTTTAAGTAATGCTCAATATATTAATATGGAATATGAATAGGAAGTAATTAATATTCAAGGAAGAAGATTAAAGAAAATAACTCACAACTTACAAATCATTAAGCTTCAAAGTAGCAAAACCAAGATGGAAGAGTTTAGCTCCTCATTTGGAGACTAAACATGATGAAAAATATAAAGAAAGAACTTGTCTAAACTGAGCTAAGAAGTATATGTGAATTGGTGTCCCAAAAGTGAAGGAAAGGAGGTGTATTTATAGGCTTTTTGAGGTGCAGGTCGAGTACTCGATCGAGTATATATACATACTCGATCGAGTATGTGTAGAACATCGAATTCGTTCCATACTCGATCAATACTCGGGTAGTTTTTATAGCTATACCCGATCGAGTACATAAGTATACCCGATCGGGTATAGACACTCGAACGTGGAAAATCTTCTCCTGCATGTTCCTTTGTTTTCGGATCCGATCCGATTTGAAATGTCAACCAGATACCCGATCGAGTATATGTGTATACTCGACCGAGTATAGACCAAAATCAGGATTTTTCCTTCTTTTTGTCTTGTACTCTTGCACCTTCCTTCACCATTGATCATTTGATTGATCTTGGACCTGTTTAAGCTCAGAATAAACCTAATCTAAACAAATTACAAGAATTTAACAAACTAAACTATTACACCGAAAGTGTGTAATTTCCGAGATATTAAACAATCAAAACTAACTAAAAACGTAAATAAACATACGGAAATTACAAACGTATCATAAGCATATTGTAGGTTGTGACTATTCGAATGTACACAAATCTAGAAGGAAATGACTTTCAAAAAAAACTTGCCAAGATTCATTCATAATCATCTCACCTGTTCTTATACACACACACATATAGTAGCTTACAAAAATCAAAAACATTTTAAGCTCCCGCAAATTGCAGAAGGTGTAAGTTAGAGCCATATAATCGTATCCACATATTCAAAGAAGGTAAACAATTATTCATTAACGATAAGTGCAGATCGAGTCGTTTAAACATTCCAGCAAGTCTTTAGAATATCAGTTTATTTAGTAAACATTACAGCCAAGTCGTTAGAGTATCAATTTCGTCAAAAACACCACGGTAAGTCCTTGCAGTATCAATTTTCTTATACGAAACACTACGCCTCGGTGAGGTCGGATACGTGAAAATGGGGAAGACAAGCAGTAAGTTGCTTCCAGTTCACCCAGCAACGCAGATCAACATAAAATCTCTTGATATATTACAGGCATAAAACAAGAAGTAAAATTCAGGACCTAAACCAGTAACCCGCTAAAACCATACTAACCATAAAACTTGTGAAACGGAAACTATGAATAGATACATTCAAACATCCACAATTAAACAACAAGAAATCACACAGTAGGAATTAGGAAGAACGAAGAGAATAATCAATGCAAATGAAACCAAGAACAATAATAATCACCTCAGGATGGTATCTGATTCCTCCTTTCATAGGCCCACGAGCATTATCATGCTGCACCCTGAACCCAACGTAAGAGACCAGAGTTCCATCGTCCTTCGGAATTGTGCACTCCACCTGATCAAACAATCACCATACGGAGAGCATCACAAACATATTCGAACTCCCTCCATTAAAAACTACTCAATTTTTTTAATACAATAAAATCTGAGATGTATGAAGCTTAGAACCTTGATTTCTCTGAAGGGGATGAGGAGGCTTTTCTCGATTTTAGAGTCCAGGCCAAGAATGCGGGCGGCCTGGCGGAAGTTACGGTTGGTAGCTGCAAGCGCGTTCATGGCAGTGTCCCGGGAATGAATCCGAAGAAATGGGCGAGTCAAAATAGTAACAATACTCCGAAATTTATTTATTGTATTTTTTTTTGATGAAGTTTATTTATTGTATTAAGAAACTGCTCTGTCTGAATGGGAGAAGAAGAAATACGTAATCCATTTTTGTTTATAAAGAACTCGCAGAAACCCAACAACTTTCTCCGTGTTAGATTATAATTAAAAAAAAAAAGTAAAAACGGCTGACGCGTCGGTGACTGTGAGTTGGGTGGGGTTTGAACGATCGTCGGGAAATGGGGTATGCGGCGACTAGGAAATATTGTTCCGTGTACGAAGTCACCTTTTGTAACTTATTTTATTTTGTAATAATTCAATCGTGAAGAGGGAAGAAAAGGGTGATTTGATCACTAACTCTTAAATCAAGAATTATCACCTTTTATAAAGTGCAATGACTCTCGTTAATCATTTGATGAAAATGATTTAAATCAATGATGATCCACCGATAACCTACTCCTTTCACTATCACATTCACCTTAAAATAGAAATATAATTGATAAAAAGTATTTTAAAGATCCATAAGTTAAGTTATGACACAAGATTTAAGGGAAAAAAGTAGGGCAATGAACATTATAAAAAAGAAAAAGGAAGGTGAAAAGTAGAAAAGAGAGGATAAAAAGTGAAAAAAAGTAAGGCTAGTTGAGTATTTTTAAAGAAAAAATTTACCAAAAAGAAAAAGTGTATGAAAATTTTATATACATCTCAAAATGAAAAGTGTATGCAAAGACTTTTACATTGTGTGAGATCAGGGAGATCAGATGTATGCAACCGCACCCCTATACAACACTATATAATTAACATGTAAAAAAGAAAATAAATAAATAAAATTCAAAATAAAAATAGGAAATTGTCGGTAGTATAGAGTTTCCCCAATTTTAGAATTTTTTACCTAATTTGCACCAAATCACCATTGCCGACCTCATTTTTTCTTCCTGCGTCAAGAACGTTAAACATGCAACCGAATAAATTAGTATGGTCGCTCGTCTCCTAGGTTACTACTTCAAAAACAAGGTCGACCTCTCGACCACTCGTGCTTGTTTCGAAGAGCCTAAATATTGAAGGCGACAGTGCAATATTTAGAGCATCCTTAATGCATCCAAGTCAAGTCTCTATTAACAATGCCAAATAGCAAATAATGAAAATGGTTTCTAACCCACGTAACAAATGTGGAATAAATGGATAGTGATCAATGCATTTAGTCATGAAGACCATAAAAAACTGTCATGTGGACAAAAACTATCAATGTAGAACCTAAGATTCCATTATTTTTTATATTCTTGTATTTTAAAAAAAATTAAATATTATTTATTAAACTAATAAACTTTTATCAAGAAAAAATCATCAAAAATTAATAATGACATCAATAAAAAATAAAAATAAAATCAAAACCTATGATTTATTGACACTGAATGTATCCTGAATTGATAAAATTCCCATCAAAATACACTCTTCATCCGTAGAAATAAATTAGAGTCGATCAATGAAAGAGTGTCGAAAGGTTATTGGAAAGGGGAAATGATGGTTCCAATGATATGTATATAAGCCCTACCCCAGGTAGTGGTAGGCATATCGGTAGTTTTCCACTAAAAAAATGATATTCTCGTTCCAAGTTTCCTGTCTTTATCTAGATTACTAGATTATTTACCATTTTCATCGTCCACTACTTTTTTTGTAGGTCTCCTTCTATCTTTTTTCACTCGTTACATTAAACTTATTTCATATTTCTTCCATCTCATTTTAATGGTCTTATTTTGGTTTTTGGGTTGTCTCAAATTAGATGTCACGTTTTCCTTTTTTGTAAGAAATTTGTGATACATATCATTCCACTTCATCATACTCAAATCTCAAACACAATTTTTATTTTTCAGTCATTTTATTAATAATGATGTTTAATTAAAATGACAAAACTATTATGGGACGGAGGTAGTATCATTTTATCTTTGTCTCATTCAATACTAACTTGAACTTCGCACGTGCTTCTTTTGGACGCTCCGAATAAATTTTTCATTCTATTTTTGGAAATAATTGCATTAATTAAATGTTACCGAACAGGTTCTTATAGTTTTATATTGTCTTATGACTCTTATCTAGGTGTGTGCTTGTCGCCGTTGTGGGTTTGCCTCGAGATTCGTAAATCTGCGAGGCCAAAATAGATGTCGCGCTAGGCTCGCGTTCAAATAACATTTGTTAAAATCAAAATGATAACTTCGATTGAAATTGCTCAGTTTACTAAAATTATGGCTTCATCGAATATTACCCTCTTTGGTGGCACTTTATTTCGGCAATACTTTGGTAGGATGTGACATTGCATTGAAAAAATGTGAAACATTTTAAAGCTAAGGAGTAGAAAACAGTCATATTCAATTATTCTAATGCAAAGTAACCAATGCTAACCACTCGTTGTATTCGAAGCAGGGTACGGTGGGCAAGGGTGTGTAGATGATGTTTTGGTTGGGTGACTTACCGTCTGTTTGGATTCAGTGTTGAGGAGTGTTAGTAACAGAAATGAAGTGTTAGTAAGTGTTGATACTAACACTTGTTTGAGAGAAAGATTAAGAGGTGTTAAGAAGTGTTAATAATAACCTTTCCAACAACTCAATTGTCCACTTTTTTAACACCCCGATTTGTAGTGTTTTGAGGTGCTGGACAATTATTATCATCTCATTTACCCTAAAAACACAAAATGCTTCGACATCTCACTTCGAACATCTTTGTCGAGGGTCTGATGGTCTTTCTTTTTCGTCTCTTCTCCTTACTCGTTTGTTCTGCTCCAAGGTAAATTATTAAAACTTCCATTATTAACACTTCATTCTTTTGACTCTCCCAAACAAGGTAAAATTATGTCTAACACTTACACATTTCTTCCCTTATGGGCCCTTACTAACACTTCCAAACACTCAATCCAAACAGACCGTTATATACTTCGTATAAAATTAGTGATTAATTTGTATATACTCGACACACTTTCCTGTCTATAAGAACATTTGTTACATTTTTCTAAACAGGTTGTCTGTCTATACAGGTAACTAGGGAATGTAAATATTTTGTGTATATTTTATACTCACATGTATGTGTACACAAACAATTGTTGTTTTTTCTGAACAAGATATCTGTATACACATAAAAGTGTGCCAAGTATGTACGAATTATGTGTACAAATAGGCTTTTTCTTAAAAGTTTTTATGTACTGAATATATTGATATATGGAAGTTCATAATTAAAATTTTAGGTGTATTCATAAAGTTCAATAAAAATTTGGATGTATTCAAGAGTTTATAGACATGAGTAATTAGAAAATCATTCCATTTGGGGAACTTTTGATTTTCCTCTTCCCTCAGGTCTCAAGGTTTCACCGAGACTTATTCGTTCGTAAATTAGAGCATCTTCAATGGTACAATGTGCATGAGTGGCATGAGAGATGACCACATAAATATTAGTAAATAAATTATTTTTCTCCTTATTTGAATGATTTTATACAGTTTTGGTAAGTTATTCTCCACAATGTCAAGGAGACCGTCTAATGTTGACATTGTTGTTGACATTGCAGGAAAAAACTTACTAAAATTATATAAAATCATTCAAATAAGGAGAGAAATAATTTATTTGCTAATAATTATGTGGCTATCACTCATGACACATGTGCACCGTGGACATTATAGCATTGAAGATGCTCTTATCTACCTTCTCAAACCAATGTTTTTCTTTCTTGTTCATAATACCTTCTAGAGGTTTTTGACCTTCCTGTTCATTGTTTATCATATAATTTTTTCTAACTCGTGTATAATGATACATAAATATTTGTTTCGTTTATATTCTACCCATGCGGGGATCAAAACTTTTTTATTCAATTATAATGTTTTAAATTGAACTGAAAATTTCGTTGATCTAATCTTGTAAACTTTCAATCTTTGGTGCATATATTTTACTATAGTGCAAGTCTAGCCCGGTACGTTCTACTTAAATATAATCTAGTCTATTTATTTCATATAAGTCATTCATTCGAAACTAAATTTTAAATTTTCTTTTAAAAATCGACCTGTTACAGCACATTATGGGGTAAACTATAAAATGAAATGTTCAAATATTTTTCAAAATTAACACACTTATATTACTACAATTTCTTAACGTAGCAGACACATTGCACTTAGGAGACTAAGTGCAATTTTAAAATATATTATTCCAGTTCATAGTATCATAACAATGTATGAAGAAAGTAGAAAAACCACAACACGTTTATTCTTGCTAGTATTCATTTTATGCCGTCCCGTGTTATTCTTTCTTCTATTGGTCATGGTGCATATATGATTGGTAGTGTATTAATTATCACAACTTGTTATGGTGAGTATAACTTATATCCAACAATAAGCTTTTAGTCATCCTCTTTCAGTAAGGTTTTTGTAGCCACTAAAAGTCACCCATTGCTAAAAGATTCAAAATAATATCTTTTCAACTAGTTTCTTCTCCCTTTAAATACTCAGCGGCCACCAAATTGCGCTTAAGAGTCGTTAGGTAGTTGATACCTCTCTTAGACTTGGGATATTTTCTTTTGGACTATTTTCAGTCTCAGACCAGACCAGACCAGACCAAATCACAAACATATAATACCATATCAGATCAGTGAATTTCAGTGATCTGATATGGTATACTCTTGAACATCGTTATACTCTTGTGTCTCATATTATCATAAAATTACACTCAAATATCCTTCTGGTTTGACGACTACATTAAAAAGCTCACATCCTTCTCGTTTTACCCAAGAAGGATTGAACTATAAATAAACGAAATGCAACAAATAAAAGTGAATCAAACGACTAATTTACACAGTTTTTTTTATGTATGATAACTTTTAAAGTGATAATTGCTCTTTTTCATCGCATTAAATAAAATATAAAAGCCCTTGACAAGGCGGTTTGAACGGAAGCAGGCTAATGTTGCCTGCTTTGATCCCCTTAGGGTGGGTGGTGACTTGGTGTTGCCCCTAAAATTGCTTGGTTGGCTCAGAACCTAACAGTAGTATACCCAGGGATGGATTTAGGGGGGGCGCGGGGGGCGACCGCCCCCCTTGGACATTCAATTTTTTTTACCATATATGTAATATTTTCATAAAACTTTCATAATTTAATTAGATTCGCCCCCCTTAGCTTTTAATTTTCAAAATTAATATATATAGTCTTATATAATGTAATACTTAATTGGAGATTTAAAAGAAGAAACATCTAAAATAATTTACATAACTTAAACAAATAAACAATAGAGTAACTCGTTATTTAAGATTTAGGATACTTATTATAATGTTTAATTATAAACATCTAATGTTTAATTATCTTTATTAGATAACAAGTACTGGATTTCGTAAAACATATATCAAACAATATTAAATACCAAACACACTAATTACACAATTTTTAGATCACGTGAAATGAATCCAAAATATAAATATTTATAGACATTAGATTACATAATTCATTTACTTCTTGTTTTCTAAAAATAATTTATTACATGGATAATAAACTCTAAATTATTATAGAATTAATAAAAATATTAAAATATAATATGCACCATATATATGTGTGTGTTTGTATGTGGTGCATATTATTCTAAAAATAACAATCTCATACATACTAGTATACTACTATTGTAATATTAAGAAAACTTCTCATGAGTCATGACTCACGAACACCCTCCTTGGTGGACAAAAATTACAATTCAATAACCGATTCATGAGGTTAAACAATGTAGAAGTTATTAAAAATGTATTGGTTGATGTCTTTGTCATCGTCTAAACTTAGAAAGTAATAGATTTAAATGTCGTTCGCGATGTGCATGTATTAATGTCATTTTTTGAATAAAAATAGCCGCATGGCCCTACAGTAGCGAAAAAATTTCGCCCCGCTATACTAGGGAAAAAATTTTCACCCCGCTACACTAACAAAAAAAAATCACCCCTACAGTAACGAAAAAATTCGCCCCCCTTGACTCAGAATCCTGGATCCGTCCCTGAGTATACCACCGATGCACATGGATGTTTTTATTCTGAGCATAGTTCTTTATATCCACGCCTCATATTTTGATGATGATGAAAAATGTTACTCCCTGATTTTGGTTTTCGATTTCCTCTCTATAATTTTCATTTTCATGTTTACATTATATTTCTTTTTTTTAATTATTTTATGAATGATATGTTTTATTTCTGAATATTTTTATGAAATTAATTTCGAAATTTTTGAATGTTTTCAAATTTTATACATTAAATTTGATTTTGTTAGATTTTACTTAAATATATTCCTCTTCTTATGACATAATCAATTTTAAAATGAAATATAATTACCTTTCACAATTTTAATGGGTTTAAATCACTTTATTCACATCATTTGTTTATATAGTCTTTAGGGTTTTAGATTTCTTAATCATTTTAAACTTATTTATTAAGTTTTCGAATTTTTATATTTTGGACAGTTTATATTTTTAAATAATGTATATTAACTATTAGAAAACTA